CAAATGGGCTGAGCTGTCTGCAAAGAATAAAGGCAAGCTTACAGAGAAAGCACCATAAATTAAACCACCACTTTTCTTGACAGCACAAAGAATAATGTTTCTTGCCCCTAACTTTGCTCTTGGATACAAAGGCCTTTGTTTGAGTGAACAAATGGGAAAGAAACTGATGAGAGTCCAGGTTAGAGAAGACCTGCATGTGAATGAAGTCAGTAGAGCCAATCAGGAACTTTCAGTTTGCTGTAAAACAGCATCCTACAAGAGGCTCCAAATTATGAATGGGAAGAAAATTCATTTCCAGCAGCAACTCTCGGCAACGCATGAAAATGACTTTGCTTCACAGTGAGTCCCTTCTCACCTGAAGAGTCAGAAATTCAATCCTGAAAACAATAAACTGTTCACTGAGAAGGGCTTTCCACATCAAACAGTTCATCAAATCATTCTCTCCTCTCCACTGATGTCCATACTGGGCAATCATTGACTCTGCGAAGGCTGAAGTCACTTTAATTTATGGAAATTCCAGAACAAAGAGTTCAAGAACAGAATCTGGCCACTATGGGCTTCCCTCAAGAGTCTTTTTGATGCTGATTCTCACTGTGGATTCTACAAAGTTCAAGATGACTATTATGGTCTAGTTGGAGCTTCCATGTTTTATTAAGAGGGGAACTTCGGTGTCCAGAGTGGCAACGTTAAGATGTTATGGGACCTTTAAGAAGTAGGAATGTTAAGTACTAAGCTTGGCATGAACATGTAAGGGGAAATTCTTGCATTGAAGCACTTTCAAAGGATCATTTCCCCTTTTTATTTTAATTTTTATTAATTACACTTTATTCACTTTGTATCCCCCCTGTAGCTCCCTCACCCCTCCGCTCCCAATCCCACCCAATCATTTCCTTTTGTTTTAGGTTTAAAAACTTTTTTGGAGAACATTAAACATGCCCAAAGGCATTCCTATCTGCCATTCTTTTTTCTTTCTTTTTAGCTTATTGTTTTTTTTAATTTTTTTGATTACAATTTATACACTTTGTATCTCAGCTGTAGCCCCCTCCCTCACTCCCTCCCAATCCCACTCTCCCTCCCTCTTCTCCTCTCATACCCCTCCCCTTCCCCTAGTCCAATGATAGGGAAGGTCCTCCTCCCCTTACATCTGACCCTAGCCTAGTAGGTCTCATCAGGAGTGGCTGCTTTGTCTTCCTATGTGGCCTGGCAAAGCTGTTCCCCCTTCAAGGGGAGGTGATCAAAGAGCAGGCCAAACAGTTCATGTCAGAGACAGTCCCTGTTCCCATTACCCACTTGGAGGCTGAGTTGCCATGGACTACATCTGAGCAGGGGTTCCAGGTTATCCCCAAGCATGGTCCTTGGAGTATCGGTCTTTGCAAAGACCCCTGTGCCCAGACTTTTTTAGTTCTGTTGGTCTCCTTGTGGAGCTCCTGTCCCCTCCAGGTCTATCTATCTCCCCCTTCTTTCCTAAGATTCCCTGCACTCTGCCCAAAGTTTGGCTATGAGTCTCAGCATCTGCTTTGATACTCTTCTGCGTAGAGTCTTTCAGAGGCCCCCTGTGGCAGGCTCCTGTCCTGTTCCCTGATTCCTCCCGCTTCTATCCCATTTACTTTCTGAGTGAGTATTGAGCAGCTTCCCTAGGGTCCTCTTTCTTGTTTAGCTTCTTTAGGAGTATAGATTTTAATATATTTATCCTATATTATGTGACTAATAGCCACTTATAAGTGAGTATATATAATAGCCAGAGTCTGGAAACAACCCAGATGTTCTTCAGTGGAGGAATGGATACAGAAATTGTGTTACATTTACATAACGGATTACTACTCAGCAATTAAAAATAAGGAAATCATGAAATTTGCAGGCAAATGGTGGGAACTAGAAAAGATCATCCTGAGTGAGGTATCCCAGAAGGAGAAAGATACACATGGTATATACTCACTTTTTTTTTAAATTTATTCACTTCACTTCCTATTGTAGCCCCCTCCCTCATCTTGTCCCGGTCCCACTTTCCCTCCCCCTTTCCTCTCCTTAGCCGCCTCCCCTAGTCCTCAGAAAGGGGAAGCCCTCCTCCCCTACCAACTGACCCCATTTTTAAGTCACAAACTCACCACGTGCCCATCATTTTAGCTTTTGAACACGTACTCCATAACCTCGAGCTGAGAATGCCCAGATACAGCCTCCATATCTCCTGCTTGAACTATGACCTTAAACTGAGCATGCCCAGAAATACACCCCTTAACTGCACATGCTCAGTCTTGTCATTAAAGTGCTGCCGTGAGTGTACTGAGTTCAAAGAATCTGTCCTCATATCTCTTTTATGGGGTCATTGTTTTTGATCGCTTTGGAAATAATTCCTGTATTCTTACTGGCTGAAGATCATAAATCCTTCTTTATTTCCTGGCCATGCTTGTTTGGGTTTTGTGGATTTGTATCTGGTTACAGATACACTGTCTTCAGGTGATTGGACCTGTGGTGGTTTGAATGAGAAGTATCACCCACAGTCTCAAGCTTGGTTTCCAGCTTGGAGAAACTTGGTTAGTGCATCTCACGCTGGAGGAAGAATATCACTGGGGAAGGAATGGAGAGTTTAAATCCTTGAGCCACTCCATTTGCTTTGTTTCCTGCTTACAGTTCCAGATGTGAGCTCTCAGCTTCCTGCTCCTGCTGTCTACTGCCATGCTGTCCCAGCCATCTCGGACTCTAACCCTCTGGAACTATAAACCACAACAAACTCTTGTATAAATTGCTTTGGTCATGGTGTTCTATCACAGCAACAGAAAGGTGACTACGGGGCTCCTGGGAAATTCAGTTATTGGGGACCCTTTGGTTAGTTCTCAAAAGGATTGTTATAAACGAAGCAGGCTATGCCTCAGCTCATTTGGCTCCCTGTCGTCAGGTCACATACTCTCCTTCCTATGTACTTATACTCTTGAATTGCCATCTCCCAAGGCTAGCTCCATGCCCTAGGAATTTCTGCAACTGTAATATAAATGTGTTTGAAATGGTACGGCTTTATTTTATAATTTTAAAAAATATACAGTGATGCACCTTACACAGAAGGTTTATCTGTTAGAATATGGCCCCCAATCCCACCCCATGAATTCTGGGGCTGTAGTTTCTGTTACTTAGCTGTTTCAGACTGTGGATATTTTCTGTTGACCCTGACCTTCAGCTTTGAGCTAGCTAATCCTATGGACAGGATCCAGTGAACTCAGCAAAGAATAGTTGACTGTAGCAACCAAGAAAGGCAGCCAAGCCAGTGGCCGGGTGATAGAGCACAGAAAATTCAGCGTGTTTGGCTCTCAAAATGCAAACCTATGAGGCTCAGCTCCAAGATCCACCTTGCAAAGAGAATATTTCAGCTATTCGATAAAGGTCTAATGTTGGACTAGAGGCAGAAGTTTGGTTCCTCTAGAGTGCCAGCAGTCTTTGACAGATGGCGCTGTACTATACAATGGAGCAATGTTCTAAAATAAATCTCCCCCCACTCCATAAAAATAGCATTTTATGGCTTGTTTGGCTTATTTTTCATCCATTTAGACTCTGACCAACAGAGAAAGTTGACATGGGTAAATAGTATTAAGTTCGCTGAGCACTCTCGGCTCATGAGACATCCACCTGCTGTTGTCTAGATCAATCCAAGCTAAATATTGGGAGCACAAACCTTAGGAGAATGTATCTTTTGTCTTCCTGTTGTCTAGAACAACAGAATCGATTTGGTTTCCTCAGAAGACAAAAGTAACCCCCACCCCTACACCCTGGGGTTAGTACACTGACTTAAACAGGTGTGATGTTTTGTGATACCCTGAATGATGAATTAATTCAACAAATGGAGGAGGAAAAAACTACCAAGGCCTAGAGGGCCCATCAACCACCACTTCCCATTTTTCCGATTCTGGTACCACAGGAAAAATAAATCACCAGTCTTCTGCGCATCCATCCCTGTCCACCCTGTGCACAAAGTAAATGAATCACTAAAGGGTGAGAGCAAAGCCACTCAACATTGGCCCCCTCCCTCTGGGATTTCCGATGCTGCTTTGGGGCCAAGGCTTGTCAAGTTCTTAAGTCTGGAAAACAGGGGCCAACATGACTTTTAATTTTCAGACACTAGGAAACTGGCAGTGAGTCTTAGTGGAAAGAGCCTGACCTGGTTGGTCCGTAGTAGAACTCCCCCATTTGGCTTTTTCTAACCGTCAACCGGTGAATGGCTCGGAATTCCTGTTTTCATGTCAGAGATGGCAGTGCCCTCCACACAGGGTTCTAAGGACCCTGAGGGTCACAATTAACATACAAAAACTTCCAGGCGTGGGGGGTTACAGTTCGAGGCTCACTGTCTAAGGAACGTAGCAAGAGAATCCTAACAAACTACGGACTCTGCATGCCAATGAAGAGTCCATGTGGATTCATCATGTTTTATAAGTTTTGCCAAGGTATGTGATGAGTATGGGCAGAGGTCTACAGGAACTCTGACTTCAGCTCAATTTTGCTCGAAAGATTTACATCCCTTGTCTGTGTCCTGTGCCCCCTTGCTTTTTGTAAAGCCAGTGTTGTTTGTTTGTTTGTTTTGTTTTTTCTTTTTACTATGTAACCAAGGTACACCTTAAATTTCACCATCCTCCTGCCTCAGGCTCCTGATTCCTAAAAGTACAGAAATGCACCACCACACCCAGCTAACTATAGAAGGGGAGAAAAAGTGCAGGGGTTGAAGGAAGAGGAAGGGGGACTGAATAATGAGATGGTTGATAAGGAGAGGAGTAAGGGAGCAGAAGAAAAGGAAGTAGGAAGTTAAAAGACTGAGGAGAGGGGTGGAGGAGAAGCCATAATTCCACACACCAGTGTTGGCTGGTGCCAGCCTCCTCTGCCTTTATTGTATCACTGGTTTTAGGATGGCCCTTTCTCCGCTATTCCACAGGCACGCTCTGGTAGACCAAGGTGAGGAAGACAAAGGAAGGCTGATGATTCTCTCTGGCCTGGTGTCTGTGTCTATGTCTGCTGCCAAGGCCTCAGACCCTGCTGGGCTTCTTGGGATCCTTGTTGTTCTTGGCTGGCATGAAGGCATACAGCTCCTCAATAAGCATCTCCATCCGGGCTGTGACCTCAGTCACCGTGTCGATGACCAGCCGCTGCTGCAGCTTCAACTTGTTGTTCTCCCACAGGGCCTTCTCCTCCTCCTGGAAGGCGTGGTGCTCCTCACGCAGGACGTGCAGGGCCCTGTTCTCCTCCTGCAGCAGCCGGTTCTCCTCCCGCAGGGCCTGCAGCGCCTGGCTCATCTCTCTCAGCAGCTGCAGCGGCTGCCCGCTATCAGCCAGGATGGGGCCCACCTTGCCCTCCTCATCCCCAGATGACCCAGACAAGTTGTTAATCATCTCCCTCAGGGCTCGCAGCATCTTCGAGTCCTCCTGTGTGGCGGCTGGCCCTTTGGGCTCCTCAAACGGGGAGGAGAGGCCTGGGCTCTGGTCCGGCAGTAGCCCTGAGTTTTGGGGCTCCTCCTTGGATGAGGAGGTGTGCTTGCCTTCCTCAGCGGAAGTTGCATTCTCATCTGTCTGGGCCCAGTAGGCTTGCCTCTGCTCCAGCAACTGCTGGAGGGCCCGGTTCTCCTCTCGAATGAGATGTAGGGTGTTCTCCTTGCTGCGCTGGATGGGCGAAGTGGCGTCTTTCTTCATCGCTTCCTGGGAGGCTGTGTCCTTGTGCAGCAACGGTGAGGTCGTCTGGCTCTCCTCTTGACCCAAAGTAGCCTTGTGCTCTTCCCAAAAGATCTGTAGTATCTTGTTCTCCTTGCGGAGGGCCCTGTTCTCATCCCTCAGGGCCCGGTTCTCATCCCGGAGAGACTTGTTCTCTTCATGCAGCAGGTACTCCTTGGCCAGCCTCTTGTGGTGCAGCTTATGGTGGAAGGAGGAGGAGGGAGAGAAGTGAGGCGACTGCATGCGGCAGTTCTCGTTCACCCACCGCCCATCCTGGAAGACAAACATCTCGTCGCTGAGCTGCACCCGGGGAGGGTTGTAGTCCAATTCCAAGTCAGCCTGGGAGGTGGGGCGCTCCATCGGGTCGAAAGGCACGGAAGAGAAGCGGTTGAGCGGGTAGGAGTGCTGGCTGGCTACCCTCCGGGGCAAGGCAGCCTGCCTGGAGCAGCGAGGAGTGCTGTACAGGTTGTGGAGCCTCAGGGAGGGCTCAGTGGCTCCCCTCTGTGGGAGAGAGAAGGGAAGCTGTTAACTTGGGGCTGTGAAAGGACTGCTGGTGGGCCGAGAGGCCTAGAGACTCCCTCACCTGACCTCCCGGCATCCTCCAGAGGAAACACAGCCAGCCTTTGCTCTTCTGGGTAGCATTCTTATGAATTAATGAATACTGAACCCTGGTTCCTAGGGGTAATGCTGGGCTAGTTCCTCGAAGGCTCTGGACATAAAGTCTCTGTCAACTGATCAAGCATAACATTTATGTTTCTATTTAAAGACACCCCCCGCGAATACGTAGATTGACAGTGGGTATACGTGCCTGAGCAGAGTTTGTCTACCAAGCTTGCTCCACGAGGCACATCTCAGGCACACTGTACTCAGGAAGAGTCTTTAACAGCGCTGTGGAGATGCCACTTTAAGCCGTGAAACCAACAGGAAGCACGAAAGTTTCAAAAACATAGTGGTGCATAAACTATAAACAGGACTCCGTTTCCCAGAACGAGAGTTCAAACGAGAGGCACCTGAACCCCAGTTCCTGCCCGCACCCCCACACACAATCTTACTACGGATCCAAAAATGACCACAGGTATTCTATGATGAGCACCGATGCGCTCTAGTCAAAGTCTATAAATTCACAACTATGAAGTCTATTAATAACGAGCTACGCCTTGTATGGGCCTGTAACCCCAACTTCTCGGAGGCAGTGTAGGCCAGAAACATAACCAGAACTTCAAGGCAATTTCAGGGCTATCCTGATCCATACAAGCAAGTTCCAGGCTAACCTGGGCTTCATACAACAAGACCCTGGTCTCAAAAAATGAAAAGCCACAGATAATAAGATTCAATCATATGGTAGAAACTAAAAGTACTGAGTTTAGAATCAACTTCTTTTGTTTAACCTCTGGCCTATTTATCCGTTCGTTATAAGAATCTGGGCCAGTTGTGTGAATTACAGTTTCTATAATTTTAACTGAGAAAAACTGTATCTCCTCAAAGAAGGTGTTAATTTCCACAGAGCTGTGGTTACAGGGATTTGCAGGAAGCCCTGCTGGTTATGTGGTTGCATTTTACCTACATAATTCGTTTACTCCTCACAACACTGGCGAATGAATTATTATTTTAGCTTGAACATCGCTAATCTGAAAAATCTCAGTTCCAGAGTGCTCCAAAATCTGAAGTTTTCTGAGCACCCTGTTGATGCCACATTGGAAAAGATTCTACACTTGCCTTCATGCAAAGACACAGATACACTAAAGTAGTGTACAAAATTATTGAGTATATATATGTACAGAGAGAGAGAGAGAGAGAGAGAGAGAGAGAGAGAGAGAGTTAATGCTTATGCATGGTCTCTATTCCCTGAGAAGCCTGCCTTCCTTCTCTCTTCAAATATGAAAACCACCCCTTTAAAGGCTGCCTCCTGCACAACATTCTACGCATAATGATGGCTGATTTTAATCATCAACTTGACACAATCTAGAATCGCCCAGGGGGGAAAAATTCCCAATGAGTAATAACCTGGATTGAGTTGTCCTTGTGGCATTCCTGTGAGGGATTTTTCTTAACTGGGTTAATGGGTGCGGGGAGACCCAGCCCTCCGTGGGAAGTACTCTACCCTGGGGGTTTGAGTCCTGGACTGTGTAAGAGTGGAGAAAGCAAGCTAAATACTAGAAGAAAGTGTACAATCAGCCTCCCTTTGCTTTTGACTCTGGATGTGACTAGGCATCTCACATTCACTGCCTTACAGTGATTAGCTGTGGCCTGTAATTGTAAATCAGAGAAACCCTTTCTCCCTGAGCTGTTTATATGGGACCGTTTTATCACAGCAACAGAAATAAAACCAGGACAGGACAGTGGCCATCTTGAACCTAGAATCCAAAGTAATGGTTCCCAATCCCCGAGAGCCTTGATCTCAAAACACCCATGACTGAGTCCTATCGAGGAGTTACTGTTTCTCCATCACCTCTAAAAGGAGCCTAAACATGGCTGCTGTGCCTGTTTCCTGAGTTCATAGGAGGACAAGTAGTAGACAAGCTGTCACAAGGACCAATGAGTACTGCCGGTAATCTTTAAAAATCCCAGTTCTAAACCACCATGAAACACTGAGTATATTGCTTTACAAAAAGTTCTGCCAAAATGCGAGCAACAAAGATGAGCAAATACACATAGATTCAAGACCCCAGGCTCCCTTAACCAGTGCTCACAGCCCAGGCTTTCACAGTAGCAGACTTGGGCCAGGTCAGAGATATTCCCAGATTTCTTCCATTGGCTGAACTACTCTATCTGATGACCTGGGTCCTGACAAGAGGCCTGTCCATGCTTGGAACATCATGGAGTGATGATTCTACGGAGCTTAGGAGGTTCAACCAATGAAGGAAGTTTTCTTCTTGGTCTTTGGGACCTGTTCTCGCTTAGAGATAGAGACCAACAAGTGAAAAGGGGCAAAGTTGGCTCCTTGGTGGCAGAATAGGGAATGATGTTATAGGAGGGACCTTGTGACTCTGAGACTCATCATATCTCCTCCATCAGGTATTAGGTGACCAAGATACTGCCTTCAGGAGCAAGGAGCAAATAACGTACTCATAGCTATGACCTAACAATGTGTGAGTGCTGGGGGTCTAGGAAGAGCCCTGGGTACCAACAAAGCCCTCACAGAATGCCTGAAACCCAAAGGATGCCTGTGGATTGGAATCCTTCCCGAGCACATGCCTAGCCCCTCCTGATGTTTTCTTTCTAATGAAGCTGCTTTAAATCAGCAGTGCGTTTGTGTGGCATACAGTTCCCACAGACCCTGAAAAAAACATAGCAGAGCAACCAACTGAGAAAAGTGGAACAAAAGGCAATGGGGGAAGGACGGTGACACCCCCAGGGTCTCTTACTGGTGCTATGTGATCTCTAAAGACTAGAACTCTTGGGGTAAAATCTTAAATGGAGTCATCGGGGTTGGTGGCCTTCCATGTGAAGAGTTCGGGAATGGGCCAGGACAGCGAGCAGCCAGACATGCACTGCTGTGGTTTGAACGTGTCCTCTAGCCTTCATGTGCTGGCAACTTAATCCCCAAAATCACATGATAGTGGTGTTTGAGAAGGGAGACATTTTCAGGGTGGGTTGGATAGGGAGGGAACAGGTGAACCCATTCAGGGGTTAGCGCGTTGTTGCAGGAACACCTGTTATAAAGTGAGCTCTCACCAAGTGATACCCTCCACCGTGTTGTGACACAAGAAGACCCCTGCCAGAAGATGACCAGGTGCTACTACAGTGCTATGCTCTTGAACGTCCAGCCTCCACGCTTTGTAAACTGCCTCGGGTCTTGGGCATTTTGTTATAGTAATAGAAAACTGGGGAAACAGCACTGAACTTCTCTCCCCTACTTGAAAAAAAGTACCACCCAGAATGTCTACTGCTCCCAGAAAGCCCAAGCTGGTCAGCCAACAACACCTGCCTTGCCAACACACCATTGAGGGTTAACAAGTAGGAAATGCTCGGCCAGCTTTTAATGAATTGAAGGGCCCAAGGCCCTAGAAGGAAAAAGCAAAATGCTAACTTCACAGCTGCGTTTCATTGTCAATTAAAAACAAACAAAAAAAGAACCAAAAAGAACAAAAAAACAAACTCACCTCTCTAGTGATATGATAAATACAATGTTTCTTTTAATAAATTCTAAACAGATGAAAAGATAATTCACAAGGTAAATGTGATTGGTTTTGATAGAATTTTAATGCTAAGAGCAAAGAGAATAAGGATGGCAGGTGTAGTCGTCTTAGCTAATTATTTGAATCTCCTAAAATCTTGCTCTTAAACTATTCCACTTGGCATTGCTGTGAGCCAAAGAGAAAGGAGAAAAAGGCAAGGGAGAAATGGAGTCGGCATTGGGAGGTACTATCAGAGATCATTCTGATCAAGATGTAGATCTTTCATTGATGATCTAGCTGTAACAATATCTTAATGAAACTCAGAGTGCTCATGGGGAAGCCTGAATAACTAGAAAAGTGAGTCTGTATACAGATGGAATCAGTCAGGAATCAGGAGATCAGTTGCTTGGACAGGAAATAACGCTATGGCTTGCAAGTTAATGTGCTAGGGGGAAATAGATATGAAAATACACTTGTTCAATGTGAGGAGGAAAAAAAGGAAATCATAAGACCTGAAAAGACCTAAGGGCAATAACTAGTGAATCATTGTGTTTGCAGTGTGATTGAGAACTCCAGCCACCCAATAGGGCTGGGAGCTGGGAGCTGGGAGCTGGATGCTGGGAGCTGGGAGCCAGGAGCCAGGAGTACTGTTATAATTCCCTCCCAAATAGGATGAGCTCAGCTCAGAATGAAGCTACACGGAACAGAAACGCAGAGGCAGCTTTGGGGGTTAGCAGTCCTGATAAGGGAAGGGATCTTCTAGAAGCAAGAGAAGAATTAGACTAAGACATTGGCTGGCCCCACTAAGTAGGGTGCCAGGCTGGGCACTGCCCTGAGTCAAAGCTCTGTCCTTGATACTGAGCCTCCCAATTCCCACAGCTGTGAAATCTCTGCCTTACGCTTGGCCAACACATAATGCCATCAGCACTTCATCAATATCCTCCCCCCCACTATCTCTTTAGGGGAGGTAGAGTGAGCATATAGGCCCTTCTCAAAGCCCTGGGGGTTGGGGTCAGTTTACATCATCTTGTTCTCCGTGACTATTTTTCCTATCCAAGAGGACCAGTCTAGAGTATCCTGGAAGGCTGGCCAGCTTGTGCCTCCATAGCAGGTGGGCCTTGTAACCATCCTGGCAGGAATGAATACACTCCAAAGAGATACTTATGGCCCTCCTTTTAGCTATCAGATTATTGAAACACAGGACCCCAAGACATTTCTCCAGTGGTTTTATATTTGGAGGAGGTAAAGGCTTCTCCAAAGGCCGGTGCCAGCCAGAGGGGAAGGTGGTCTCTCAGAAAGAAAGAGGTTTCACACAGTCCTTATAACTCGTCCAACCACCCTGCAGGAGAGAGCGGGTCTTGAGACAATGATGCTGGGCTAGAACACGCCTCAACCAAGACTGCTTAGTTCTGTGTAGTTCAACCTCCCCTATTGAAACCCAAACTTCACGTCCAAGTTGGACTTGGGCCATCATTAGACCTCTCTGTTCCTCCGGCAAGTGTTGCCACCTTGAACACGTCTACTCTTCCTGCTTTTCAACATCAGTTGCTTGCTTAATTGACCTCGTGATGACTGCTCACTGAGCTTGCCTCAAGGCCACATGGGGCCAAGAGAAACAAATCTCCAGACAGCAGTGATCCCTTCATTCCATATCCCTTTACCTTCCAAGATCCAAGTATCTACACCAGGTCCTCCAGCCCAGGAGGTGGGGCTAGAGGTGGGGGGGGGGGTCTGTAGGTGGGATAACCAGAACAAACCCAAGACTTCTCAAATCACCTTTCTCCTTGTCTGCTAAGCTGCTTCTGGGAGCTGGGGATGGAGAGCTGTGCCAGGAGCAGATAGAAGGAGCTTTCTTATCTTTCTATTCCACTACAGTAATGAGGCTTTGTGTCAGCCTGATTGGATTATGAAACACCTAGGGCATTAACAAGGCACATACTCTGGTATGTGTCTATGGGGACATCCTTTATCAAGGACAACAAACATGAGGGGCCGGGCAGCATACTCAATGTGGTTAGCACCCATGAGCCAGGATCCTGGCTGGAATAAAACAGGTTGATCTGCCATGATGTGAGGCCGTGGCCCTGCCGCCATAGCTTTCTCTTCACCATGAACTTATCCCTTGAACCAAGAGGCAAAATAAACATTTCCTTTCTTCACTTGCTTCTTGTCAGGTGTTTGGTTGAGACATTGAGAACAGTCATTAATAAAACTGCTTCTAAATCCTGCTCCCAACCCCTTTCCCATTCTGGCATCTCCTGGCTTCCCCTAACATGTGGGCTGGTAAGGAGCCAAAGGAACCATGCCCATCCTCACACACAGTAGCAGACAGATGCTATTTTATGTATTAAGAATCAGACCTAACAAGGTTCCTTGTCCTTCTGTAGGATGACCAGGACATAATTACCTAATATTCTGGCTCTATTTTCATGAGCTGGATGAGATATGAAAGTGGCTGCTCATTACAATGTTGTAAAGAAAACATATATCCACGATGATTCCTTGCCTGACTGTATTACTGTATAATCACACTAACACAGAACACCATCCTCTTTTGTACACACCTCCCTGGATCAAACTTTTGGATAAATTACCTGTGCCTTGTGTCCCTCCATCCTACATTTCACCTTTACATGTGGCATGGCCCTGTTCTTCCAAAGAGCTCTTGGGTGACTCTAGAGAAAGCAATGCCCCCCCTTTGTGACATAGCAGGAGAAGAAAGAGTCATGTCAGAGTTCCACCAAGAAAGCTGTTCCATGCAGGAGACCTGAGAACCACAAGCTGTAAGGGAAGTTTAACCATTCACTGGCCTCAAAAGAAATGACTGGATGTCCAGTAAACCATCTTTGGCCCCCAGCAGGCCTTAGTTCTCCTGACAGCTGCAAATGGGCCATATGCTAGGGTTTCAGTTCTTGGCTTTATTTTCATGCCTATGACTTCAAGCTCAGTTCTAGCTCTCCACAGATAGCCCAAGTGGTTATACACCTCCATGCAATGAGGGGTCTCCTGTGGTAAGGTTTTCTTACAGTATCATCAAACCTTGAAAGGCTAGCACTGGGGGACCTGAGCCATCCAACTCAGCTCCCACCCCCACCCCCACCCCCAAAGGCCAGAGGATCCCAAGGTCTGGAGAGACCATGTTGGGAAAAAACAACATGACAAGAAGCCGAGTGGCTGACTTCTCTGTTCATTCTGTAAGGCTTGGAAACAGGGTTATTGTAGCTAAAACCGGTCATTTACACCTTTCTGTGATCGTCCTTACCTGAGGCAGGACCACATTGATTGGGATTTCTAGGCATTCAGATCTGGTATCACTCTTTCTCACAAAATGTGGCCTCGAATGCTGTGAAAAAGAAAAGAAAAAAAAAAAAAAACCAATTAAGATTCCTTCCCAACCCATTCCCAGGGCCTCAGCGACTCACCTGAAATTCGTAACCAGTTTCTACACACGTATGCCCTGATTACAAATTAATTATAAACTTTATAAAAAATCCCGGTCTAAAGGCATACGTCGACAATAGCTGACCACGTATCTCACTGATCACCGAACAGAAATCAAGACAAGAACTAACTGATTGAAAACCCCGTGGAAGGTCCTGGAAGCAGAGACAGTTGCAGTCCATCCTGGTTTTAAACTATTATTTCTATGTCGCAGAAGTAGCCATACCAATGTGAGGTGCCACGTATAGGTCCTATGCATAAGGTGGTCACCAAAACACTCAGAACATTCCAGAGGCGACATCATAGAACAGTCTGGCGCTTTTCAGAGCTCATGGCCTCTAAGTGTCTCAGGTGGGAATGAGGCTTCTGTAGGTAGGACAGATTGTTCTTGGCTGTGCCTGTGAGGCTAGCCAGGGTCAGTGTGACACACAATAGCCCTAACGCTCACACTTGTTTGGTCACCCTGGCTGTCGTCAGGCTGGTTTGAACCCCCACCCCCCTCTTTAGAGGTGGCGTCTACTTCAGCTGTGTTACTCGGAGAGAAACATTAATTGTCCAGACCTGGGGAGGATTTGGTGACTAGGGACTCTTCGGTTCCGCTCAGATACTAGCCACATGGAGTTAGTGTCAGGTCCCAGAAGTCAGGGGCTCAGCCCTACGAGGTGATCTTTAATTGAGGTACCAAGGCCAGCTTACACTTGTAACTGATCCCTCGTGAATCAGGGATTCCCCTGACCTGCAACTCAGGTTCCATAGTTGTCTCTCAAAACTCAGGAAAAAATGTTTGACCTAGGGTCACTTTACTATGAAGCTCAGGAGGGGCCAAATGGTAATACCAGGGGCTGTGACATTGGAGGGCGAAAGCCTCTGGACCCGTTTGCCTTCCAGCATCATCAGCACCCATGAGAGGAATTTGTGGAGTTCCATTATGTAGGCAAATTTAATTAAGTCTTTGGCCTTTGATTATTTAACTAAATGTCAAACCCTTCCCAACTTCCCTAGAGGTAGAGGTTTACTGAAAATTCCAACTTTCTAATCCCCTGATCGGTTCCTCTGGAGTCCACCCTCTAGAGCCATTCCACTAAGCATAGGCGATGTGTGTTCCAAAGAAGATCCTGTCAGGAAATTCCAAGGGTTTTAGAAGCCCTGATCAGGTAGAGAAATACAATTATACAATTAGAGCACATGTAGAAGTTGCATTAAGGGCAACACCCCACCCCTCCAGCCTTAGTTCTGTCAAATCCATCGCCTCCAGAGCCATTAAAGAGAATTCCCTTGTGTATCTTAGTCCTGTGTGCTTTTGCCCCTTGGGGTAGAGGGACAATGGTGACCCAAGATCAACAGACCCAGAGACCCTGAAACTGGCCACTTGAGTCCCCCATACCCAAATTACAAGCAAATCTTGCTATAGGAAAATTTGAATATACAAAAGTTTAAAGATACCCCCAGAGAAAAATCAATGGCCAGTTCCATTGCCAAAGAATTTTTGTCAACAAATGACATTCAAGGATGTTTTTAAAGTGTGTGTGTGTGTGTGTGTGTGTGTGTGTGTGTGTGTGTGTGTGTATGCTGGTTGTTGGCTATTCAGGCCCACTCCAGCCCTGCCATAGACTGTAAACCTATGAAGCAGGAAAGCAGTCACCGCCCCCCCGACCTCTCTAACTGTCATAACAGCATTTCCACAAAAGTCATCCCCAGCCCCTCCATAAGACCCTTCCCAGATTATGCTAATTTTAGGTGAAAAGCCACCAATTCCCGAGCAGGAAGACCCACCAATTCCTGAGCTCCTCCAAGCTCAGGACTTGAAATCTCACCAATCCTCACCCCGGAAATCACTGCCCTAGAAAGTTCCACCCCCTAAGAAAACTTGTATAAAGTCTGTGTCTGCACCGTTCTCTGCTATCCTCTCTCAGGAGCAGGGACAGCCAACACTGGATTTGTCCCTCCAAACCCTGGACCCTCCCAATAAATTTCTTTTATGAGACTTGCTGCCCTGTGTGACTGTCTCATTGGAAGAAGCCAAGAAGAAATGAAGAGAAGGGAAGAACTAAAATGGAGTAGGGCTGGGGCTCCTGAGCTCCTCCGCTCAGCAGGAGATAGCCACGCCTGGGGCTGCAAGGCCTCTGATGAGGAGGCTTCCTCTTAGAGTGGTGTGGTTCCTGGGCTCCTGAGTCCCAGGACACCCTTCTGTCTGAGCAGGAAGACCAACACTAGTACATGTGGAAGTCGAAACAACCTTGGGAGTCATCCCTCAGCTGTCATCCATCTTTTCTTTGAAGACATTAGCCTGGAACTTGACGATTAAATGAGCCCCAGGGGTCTGTCTGTGTCCACCTTAACAGCACTGCCTGACAAGAGGGGGGCCACACTAGGATTTTTTTTTTACATGGGTTGGGAGATCAAATTCAGGTCCTCACAGTTGCAAACCCACTGAGCTCCCAGACTCATTTCTGTAATTTTAAAACTGCACGGTGCTGGTTTGCCCATTGCTGCCATTCTACAGCGTATAATTCAGTAGTTTTGAGTATAGCCACAGTGTTGTGCGTATGAGCACGCTAGAATTCTCTCATCTTAGAAAACTATGACTCCTATTAAGCACTAATTCTCCCTCTTCCCTCCCTCCAGCCCTTGGCAACCGCATCCCCATTTCTTGTTTCTATGATTTGAACTACATTAATGTCTTAGTTAGGGTTTCTATTGCCACGATAAAACACTGTGACCAAAAGCAACTTCGGGGAGGAAAGGGTTTATTTCAACTCACTCTTCTGGGTAACACTTTATCACTGAGGGAAGTGAGGGCGGAGAAGCCAGAGGCCATGACAGAGTAGTTTTGAGTATAGCCACAGTATTTACTGGCTTGTATCATGGCTTGCTTAGCCTGGTTTCTTATAGCACCCAGGACTACCAGAGCAGGCATAGCACCATCCAGTGAGCTGGGCCCTCCCCCATCAGCAGTCAGCCCCGAAGCTTGCCCACAGGCCTGTCTTATGGAGGCCCTTTTCAACTGTGTTTCCATCTTCTTAGATAACTGGCTTGTGTCAATTGCAAAAACAACAAACAAACAAACGAATCCAATAAACCAGCCGGCACAATCAGATAGCTCATATGAGTGGAATTACAGAATATTGGTCCTTTCATGACAAAATTTACATAACTTGAAACAAAGAGTCAAGATTTCCTTCCTTTAAAAAGCTGAATCATGTTTCACGAGATGCAGGTATCTGGAAATACTGCTACTGTAAACTCGGTGAGCAAACATCTTTCTGAGATTCTGCTCTGAATTATTTTGGATACCTGTCCAGAAGTAAAATTGCTCAATGACCAAGTATTCCATTTTTAATTTGGGGGCGGGGCAGGGGAGGTGTCTCCTCATTGCTCTGCATCGCGCCTGCCTTATTGAACCTTCCCACCAACACAATGCTTCCCATTTCCCTCCCCCACGCTGGCTGCTTTAAGTGGGTGACTCCTGTGCTGCCTGAAAACATAATTCCATTTCTCCTCACCTCCCAGAACAGCATCTGCACAGCACTGGGTGTGAGCAGAGTTTTTGTTTTTGTTTTTGTTTCGTTTTGTTTTTTACTGGGAAGAATTAATGTCACCAAAGAACTGAGGCCTGGAGGGGTCCCCCTTATACAAAACTTGCTCCTATCCCTTTGGCTCAAAGGTCCACTAGCTGACGTACCATTGGTACTTCTGTTGTGAGCTGTCAACAAAGTGTTGTTTCCCACAGCCCGTGTGAGGGCCTGTTTGTCTGCTTGCTTGATGGGTTGCTTTTCTCCTTCATTTTCAAAGAAAGAAACATCTAACCTGGGCCATCCCAGTCATAACATTTGCGGTTGCCCGTTACCTGGGACTGTGCCTCCAAATGCCTGTTGTTACTCTGATTAACACAACCATCGATCACCCATGTTCCACAGGCATCCCAATCGGTGGTCATCCCAATCGGAGTTGGTGGGCCTTGTGGGTTTCTGACCTAGACAAGCTGAGTAGAAACATAAGGGGAGCTTGTACCTGAGACTCCCCAGGGTCCTAAAGCCTGCTGCTGCCGGATGAGCTGTCCAACAGCAAGAAGGCTGTCAGGGAGCCCAGACTCCTGCCCGTTCTCCAGAAAGTCACATAAAGTGAGGCTCTTGGACCAGTGGCCGGAGGTGGGTGTCAGGTTTATACTTTGACTGCTCTTGTGTTCTCCCCTATGGAGAAAGGCATAGGCAACTGGGCAGGTATAGTAATTTATCTTTCATGGCAAGTGTGCCACTGTCCTAGTTTGCTGTTTCTATGGCCAAAAGCAACTTGGGGAGGAAAGGATTCATTTGGTATACACATCTGGATCACAGCAATGGAATTGTTTAGGGAAGCCAGGGCATTAACTCAGGCAGTAACAGAGGCAGGAATTGTGAAGGAATGCTTGTTCACTGGCTTGCTCACCTCCCCTGGCTTTCTTTGCTTGCTTCCTTCCTACAACCTTGGATTGCTCTCGCACAGTGCCCTGGGCCCTCCCATACCAATCACGAATCAAGAAAATATCCCACAGATAAGCGCACAGAAAAAGCTCAGAGGGGCCACAGCTCAGGGGACGGTCCCTCTTCCCAGGTGATTACACTTTATATCAAACTGATAAAATGAAAAAGAAAGAAGGAAGGAAGGAAGGAAGGAAGGAAGGAAGGAAGGAAGGAAGGAAGGAAGGAAGGAAGGAAGGAGCACAGTTGGCCCCTGTGGTCATTTGGATGGCCCTACCCCCTCCGTAGGCTCATATATTTGCATGCTTAATCCACAGTTGATGGACTGTTTGGGAAGGATTAGGAGGCGTGGCCTTGTTGGAGGAGGTGTGTGGCTGGGTGTGGGCTTTAAGGTTTCAAAAGCCTGCACCAGACCCAATCTCTCTCTCTCTCTCTCTCTCTCTCTCTCTCTCTCTCTCACCCTTCCCCACACCCTGCCTGGTACCTGTGGATCAGATTATTAAGTTCTTAGCTGCTGCTCCAGTGCCTACCATGCACCGTGATGAAAACCTCCATCTGAAACTGTAAGCAAGCCCTAATTAAATGCTTTCTTTTATAAGAGTTGCCTTAGTCATAGTGTCTCTTCACAGCAGTATAACAGTAACTAAGATAACTTCTTGTCAACTTGACACAAACATACCTCACCATTAAACCACAACATTTAAAACATTTCCCTCCTTGTTTATCCCCCAAATCTCGTGTTACTATCACAATATAAAATATAGTTTAACTTTTAATGTCTCATAGTCTTATAAGAATAATTCATCACTTAGAAATCCAATGTCTTTAAATATCTGACATCTTA